AGGTGCACACTGAACATTTGGATGCCAACTGTGTGCACAATTTCTGCAGTGGACATGTTTTTCCTCTCTCTAAAATAGCTGGCTGCACACTGAACATTTGGATGCCAACTGTGTGCACAATTTCTGCAGTGGACATGTTTTTCCTCTCTCTAGAATAGCTGGCTGCACACTGAACATTTAGATGCCAACTGTGTGCACAATTTCTGCAGTGGACATGTTTTTCCTCTCTCTAGAATAGCTAGGTGCACACTGAACATTTGGATGCCAACTGTGTGCACAATTTCTGCAGTGGACATGTTTTTCCTCTCTCTAAAATAGCTGGCTGCACACTGAACATTTGGATGCCAACTGTGTGCACAATTTTCTATGATTTGTAGAATAAAACTGCTAAGGCCCAAATAAGCTTGCATGTATATTTTTCAGGACATTCCAAAGCAACTGTAGCATTTACTGGCAGCTGTGTGATTTTATTATGCAATTTTATGATCAGTAGTTCCCCACTGCTTTCTTAATTACATGAGGCTCATGCTGCTGTGAAAATCAATGCTGATCATTCTATCAAATTGCCTGCAGCTAGCTTTAAACTATGGTATATTAGGATTGTGAGGTTGTGGACAACCCCTAAGCCACAAATATCAATATGGAATAGGGTATATACACTAAAGCAGGCTATATGTTAGGATTGTGAAGTTGTTGACAACCCCTAAGCCACAAATACCAATATGGAATAGGGTGTATTCAATAAATCAGGCTTTATGTTAAGATTGTGAAGTTGTTGACAACCCCTAAGCCACAAATACCAATATGGAATAGGGTGTATTCAATAAATCAGGCTTTATGTTAGGATTGTGAGGTTTTTGACAACTCCTAAGCCACAAATACTAATATGGAATAGGGTGTATTCAATAAATCAGGCTTTATGTTAGGATTGTGAGGTTTTTGACAACTCCTAAGCCACAAATATCAATATTGAAATAGGGTGTATTCAATAAATCAGGCTTTATGTTAGGACTGTGATGTTGTTGACAACCCCTAAGCCACAAATACCAATATTGAAATAGGGTGTATACACTAAAGCAGGCTATTCAACTGGTGGTCCGAGGTCCGTGGGCTGAATCCACCCAGCAGAGGCACAGCAATTGGCTCAGGGATCATTGTTAGTTGTATGGTTTTGATTTTTCTATGCTGGGGCTCTGGCCCGTGTTTCCCCATATTCAAGATTTTGGCCCCTGAGTAAACTTTGTTGATTAGCCTGCCCGGCTCTAAAGTGTTGGCTAAAGTCAATGTTGTATAAGCCAAGCAATTGTGCAGTTAACATGTTTGTGTGCATGTGCTTTGCAAATGTATGCAAATATGTACAATGATTATATGTTAAATCATTTAAGGATGATATATAAATGGTATCTGATTATTACCAGAGTGATTATGTAAAAGGTGAATTCTGTTCACAAATGCATATATATTTATAATAGATTTCATTATTTGTAATTACTTACTGAATTATTGACTAGCAGAGTATAAAACATATACACAATGCCTAGCTGTGGATCATTTGAGGATGACGAATAAAAGGCATCTGATTATTACTAGGGTGGTTAATAAAAAGTATATTATGGTAACAAGTGCAAAAGTATGTATGTATGTATGTATGTGTGGGTGTGAGTATATATATATATATATATATATATATATATATATATATATATATATATATATATATGATATATATATATATATATATATATTTTAAGATATATATATGTGTGTGTGTGGGGTGTGAGTATATATATATATATATATATATATATATATATATATATATATATATATATATATATGTGTGTGTGTGTGTGTGTGTTGTGTATGTGTATGTCTGTGTGTCTCTATGGCTGCATTTATGTATGTATGTGTGTGTGTGTCTCATGGAGATTCTATATATGTAACTAATTACTGAATTATTGACTGGTAGAGGACCAAACATATATAAAATTATAAAATGCCTTAGTTTGAATAAAAAAATAACACTTTCCATATTGAAATCAATGACACTGTGTCAACAAATGAATTTACTGCCAAATGACTTACAATTATTTGACTTATTTTATCAACACTAAAAAAGTTCTATTTCTAAAACTCCAATATCAAGTAAAATATTGCAATAGAGTACATTAACATATCTAAACCAACAGTAAATCATGTTACACATTGCAACAGGGTACACTTGCTAACATTTGCAAACCAACAGTACACAGCTAAGACATGACAAATCTACCAAAATTAATGTTGAACAGGTCAGCTTAAACAAACAAAAATACATAAAATAATCAAAAGTAACAAATTCTACAGCCAGAGAACCGTCATAAGCATGATAGCACTAGATATTCACTATATAATATGACGTAGCTGTTTAAAGGTCCACTTATGGTCGCACCTAAAATTTGTCATGTTTAGGATAGTTCAGCGAAAGACAAAAGGATTACACAGTAAATAACTTCTTGTAATCATATCTTTGATGATAACAATGTCAGGACAATTTTTAAACACGTGCTTGACTAATTTTTGGAGTTTCTCTTTAAGTGCTCATAGCTTTAAAAATAAGTGTTAATTCAATGAGCCAGTATAATTTTTTTTCTTCAGTTTACTGTATAGAGGACACTCTCCAGAAAGCAATGGCAAATTACTGGTCGTAACATTTGTCTAGAAAAACCACAACAGTTAAAAAAAATTATGGGGTTTGTTCTGCAATGTTCTGTTAAGGATATACAACTAACCTCAACAGAGGACAATCCTGCATAACATGTTCACCAGTTTGCATGCTCAGTGTACATGTGCAGTTATACAGCAGAGAGATAAAGCCTATACAAGTGTGCATTCAGTTTGTTATAACATGTTGCAACATAACTGGTGGTGATATTGCATGTGCAACATCAGTTCTACTGTAATTACTGCTTCCATCAAGGATTAACTGCAATTCTGGTGGTGGACTGTTTGTGTTGGCACTACTAATGGTTTCCTTGTACATTTAATGTGTGTGTGTGTATGCTACTGGCTTTGCCAAGATTGCAGCCTCTTTCAGTTTTTTACAACAGACAGGGACAAACATTTACAGAATTGGAGCAACAGTGAGGCTACGGTTTGCCATAAAGTCAGAGCTGCGATCAACTGATCTTTAGAACCTGATTATATGGTCATGATGGTCAAGAGTGTGAGTTACTGCTTAAATTTTTAGGAATAGCAAAAAAAAAAAAAGTTTAATAATTAAGAAACAAACCTGTCCACAGCCTTCTGCCTCATTAATGTCAGTTATGAAGAATAAACCACACACAATAAATACTCAACAGTAGCAAATATATCTGTACTGTGGAGGGTAGGGAACACTGAAATATAACAGAAGTCAGTACATCCAAACTCTCAGCCTCAGCAATGCATCTGCTAGATTGCTGGCCCAGTGGTCTTGTTTTACTCCTCTTCAAGTAGGGGATTGATTCGCTTTTACTGATCTGGGATCCCAAGTTAACACAACCTAAAACGAATAGCAAGAAATTTCCTGAGGAAACAAAAATGGTCACTGTTATGATTTGGGCCGTATCGCTCAACTGAATGCCGATTCATCTAAAAAAATAATGGAGCTAAAGCATCACATATCTAATATGCTTGATGGTTTGAAAAATTCTTATACTGTCAAACATACAAATGAAATGAATAATCAAAGTAAATAAACTACACAACATGAATAAGCAATGTATAATGAGATCAAATTCCCATGTAAAAAAAACAAAAAACAAATGGGAAGCACAATCAAAATGTTAGAGTATGAATTACCCTTTTTTAGTTCCAAGACAATTTTTAAATAATATCCTTTGCTATATTATCTAAATGACCACATACATGTGTATATGTTAGTTGCATATCCTTGCAGAATGAGACAAACAATCTCCAGCATTTGTTGGTGTTTTAAAAATTAAAAACTAGACAGTTTTACTTTCAGTATGCAATCGTCAAGTCTGATGAAGAGAAGTATAGGAATGAGACCATTATTAGATCATTAAAAAAAAAAATTACACTCTGTGGGCTGAAACAATTACTCGGCAAAGAAAACAAAGCTGGCCAAAATTAGCAAACAAAACTAAACAAACGTATAAAATGTCCTAAACATAGAAAGCAAAACTTATACCACTAAGAAATAAGCTGCAGGTAATTATAAATAGCCACAAAATCATATACCCGTTTTATTAGTGGCAATTATAAAGCTTCAACTTAATTAAACCTGCAGGTGGGGGGGGGGGGGGTCCTAAGTAAAATTCTCATTGAGTGAGTTAATACATCATGAACATTAAAATTAAGTAACATTCACACTGAGTGAGTTTATACTTCATCAACATTTAAATGATCACATCTACTTTACAATTACATGATATTGTAATCACCTCGCTAACAATCTGACAGATAAATCTGACTGAAAACAAAGGTTTGAGAGTCTTATTTACTATGTAATCACACCACTCTTTTCATTATCAGATGAAAGTAGCTTATTTTCACCAATATTAAAATTATCACATCTACTTTATAATATCATGACATGTTAATCACCTCGCTTATAACATGACAGATAAATATAACATATAACAAACAGCCTTACATCTGCAACTCAAATCCACAATTGCAAATATAAAATTTTACTTGCAATGCATCCTACTGCCAATCTGATGTAACAAACTGGAATATTATGTTTAAGGAACCTGGGTTCAAATTCTGTTTTTTTTTTTTTTTAAAAGGGCGAGGGGTGTGGTTTAGAAAAGGGCCCTTTCCATGGTTTGACACACTATGAAAGTGGATCTAACCATATAATATTCCAAAAGACAGCAGTAATGAAAAAAAGTTGACTGACTCCATATAGCAGAATGATTCATAAATCTATGATTGACTCTATGGCTCATGTCAGAATGACTCATACAAATTTATGACTGATCCTATGGCTTATGATTTTACAACCATCAATGTTAAAGATCTCTAGGTGCATGGCAGATTTTGTCGGACCACCAGGCATAAACATTCTTGTACACACAAGAGACACGCTTCGGCTCGTACAGTCGCTCACAGAGTTTACAGAGAGGCAGCTTCGGCCCCAGAACTTGATAATCCCAGGACCAGCGCAGCATGTTGAGGTATGCATCCTGTTGTAGAGAAGAGACATTATATTAATACTGGTTTTATAGGTGTATACATATATACATAGGAGCCACTGTGATGTAGCGGCTAGAGGCTTACCTGTGGGTCTGAAGGTCATAGGTTCACATCCGCGCAAAGCTGGATTTGTCCATACACGATCTTGGCTCTGAGGTTGAATCAGGTACCAGGTAAAGTCTTGGGAAGAAAAGATGTCTGGTGTGATGTTGACCACATCAGCCATCGAGGGCCGACTGGTCTATAAGATTATGAGTCTAGCAGCATATGCCAAATGTGCCACTGGCAGGTAAAGGGAGCTTTACTTAACATATATAAGGAGGCATGCACACACATATATTCACACCTGCACATATCTTCTTCAGTATTCTGAGCCCTTGAAATTTACTACTGCAGAGATCGCCCACCTCCATTCATCGCTGTGTCTGGACTTCTCTTTTCAGGAAATTTTACATCTTCCTCTTGGCCTGCCCTGTGACCTCCCCCCGTTCACCTCTTTTGTGTACACAGTGGTCTCTCCAGTAACTGCCACCCTCTCTCTATCCCACAGCCATTGCGGTCTGTTTGCCCATCATCATATAGCAGGTCCTTTGCAGAACATCGCTCTCATCACGGTCTGCCTGAAAGAAACTCGGTCTCTCACCAGCTTCCCCACCTCATGTACTTTCATTTTCAAAGAGTCACTTTTATCCTCTGCCCATCTTCGTGTTGGTCGGCCCCTACCCCTCCTTCCTGGTACCACGCCTTCTGCTATTTTTTTTCCAATCCGTCGTGGCGCTTGATATGACCTAAATATTTCAGCTTCCGAGACATGATGCTGTTAGCCAATCTTCCTTGATGTTCAGATCTTTCAAGATGTCAGTATTTCTCCTCTTCTTTGTCCATGATATTCTGAGAATCTTTCTATAGCATTTCAGCTCAAAAGCCCCTATTCTCTTTCTTAAGGACTGTTAGCCCTTATACTGATGCCAACAATTAAGGGTGATTTTAATAGATTATGAATTTCACAGGTGCTCCATCTTCTCCATAGTTTGCATCTTTGATGAGACCAAAGATCTGTCATAAGACTGTTCTCCATAATTTGCATCTTTGATGAGACCAAAGATCTGTCATAAGACTGTTCTCCATAGTTTGCATCTTTGATGAGACCAAAGATCTGTCATAAGACTGTTCTCCATAGTTTGCATCTTTGATGAGACCAAAGATCTGTCATAAGACTGTTCTCCATAGTTTGCATCTTTGATGAGACCAAAGATCTGTCATAAGACTGTTCTCCATAGTTTGCATCTTTGATGAGACCAAAGATCTGTCATAAGACTATTCTCCATAGTTTGCATCTTTGATGAGACCAAAGATATGTCATAAGATTGTTCTCCATAGTTTGCATCTTTGATGAGACCAAAGATCTGTCATAAAACTGTTCTCCATAGTTTTCATCTTTGATGAGACCAAAGATCTGTCATAAGACTGTTCTCCATAGTTTGCATCTTTGATGAGACCAAAGATCTGTCATAAGACTGTTCTCCATAGTTTGCATCTTTGATGAGACCAAAGATCTGTCATAAGACTGTTCTCCATAGTTTGCATCTTTGATGAGACCAAAGATCTGTCATAAGACTGTTCTCCATAGTTTGCATCTTTGATGAGACCAAAGATCTGTCATAAGATTGTTTTCAAAAGTTTCTAATAAGGCCTCTTATAATTGTATTCCATGTTGCAGAGCCATATAGGGCAACTGATCTTATTAGTGTTTTATATATTGTGACTTTGGTGTTAAGAGTTAGAGCACCTGTTTTTAGCAGATGTTGTAGGGCACAGTAAACCTTATTTCCAGATACACACACAAATACTCTTCATAAATAAATATAAGCACATTCCTACATGTATATGTGTGTATACATAATGTACATATGCAAATATATACGTACAAACACACACACACACACATACATAAATGTATGCAAAAACAAAACTTGGAAAGCTGCACATTCAAGCGGTAACGATGAGAACAGTATCACATGGGAAATGCATGGCTGTGGAACCCACAATTCTTTGTAGGTAGTAGTAGTTAATTTCATCACTTCACAGCTTGGTGGAATACTGATGCATGATAAGGCAGACGTAGTTAGTGCTTTGTGGGAGAGCGTGGACAGTTCGGAGGAGCAGATGGATCACCAGTCTGGTGAGATTGATGCAGGGGGGAGTGACGAGAGGTTCTGGTAGATTCTCGAGGCTCAGAAAAGGCAAGAAGGACCTTTAATCAGAATGCTACTGGCACCATTAGTATCGGAACTCTTCACTGGCTGCTGAAGATGGGGACGGAGCGCTCATTGGAATGGCCCGAATGTTGTGATGTCGGTTCTTGAATCAAATCTAACAAAATAAAATCACCCTAGAGCAATATCTACATCATCTACCATTTTGTTTTTTACTGGGAACTTGGCTGAGAGAGACAGATGGGATCATCACACGATAGTGAAATTTGACTGGTTGCAAATTCCTAGATACTGCATCATTTTTTCTTTGTTTTTGCGTATTGTATTGGTCAATATTTTCGGTTAGTATTACAGTTGCGGATTAGACTTTAAGTGTTCCCTGTGTCGGTTCTGGAGCTCCATTTTGGAGAACAAAGAATACACTTTTCCCCCTCCCACCCCACAACAAGCAAGTTGAGGGGGCGACTAATTATGGGTGTTTTCTTCAAAGCCAGAGTGCATCTGCCTGAGAGGCAAGGAACTAACAGTCTGCATAGAAATAAGCCAGATCTGTAAAACTGATGTGCACACACAAACAACTGGAACTTTCCAGTGAAGTTTACAGCTAAAGAAGAAGAAGAAAGCTTGAGTGTGTTAACAGTACTGTGCCGACAACTGATACATCAGGCTATGCAGAAATGGAAAAGATAGTAAGCGGCATTCCTCCACATGAGTTTTAAACTCCAGGTGATAAAATACACTGAAGAACTCGGCAATAGGTCAGCAGAATGTTTTGTGCAAAATTAACAAGGAACAGCATGCACAATGTGGAAAATATGCAAAATGGCAATAAGTGCAACATTTTTTTTTCAATTTTTGGGGCACATCTTATACAAGAGTGTGTCTTATACACCAACAAATACAGTATATATAAAAATAGCAACTCCGCTAAGACCGGTCCCAAGCCCGGCTGTAAAAGGAGGAGGGTCTGGCTGAACCTGAGTGCTTCATGCGTCTCCGGAAGTAGTGGGTAACCGTGAATCAGCCAGACGGCCTGCATGGAGGCCGCAAGGAGGCAGCCCCTCCACCATGCAAAGGCACAACAGGCCAATCACCTGTTTGCCTTAAAATATGATTACAAGTAACTACAGAGAGAAAACCGGACGGATATTAACGGCGACGAACTGGCATGGCTTACGGACTACGATTTATGGAACATGGAACATAAGAGGCATTAACGGGAAGGAAAAGGAGTTAGTAGGGGAGATGAGGAAAGCGAAATAAGAAGTCTTGGCTCTGACTGAAACCAAGAAAAAGGGGCAAGGAATCACAGATCATGATGGAAGTATGCTGCTCTACAGTGGTGTCCCTATGACGGAGAGAGCTAAGGGAGGTGTTGGCTGTATTGTGGCCAGGAACCAAGTTAGTAACATCAAGGGATGGAAATTCATCTCGGAGCGAATTATGGTGTTAGATCTGAAAGAAGAAGATAAAATTATCAATACTGTTATTGTGTACGGGCCAAATGAAGATGAGCGAGTTGATGTTAAAGAAGAATTCTTTGAACTGCTCCAAAGGACCATAGATGACTATCACGATGAAATTATCCTCCTAGGAGATCTAAATGCCAGAGTAGGAAATGATCACTCTAGATGGGGTGCAGGGATCAGGAGATATGGTGAAGATGTTTTGAATGATAATGGCAAGCGACTTCTCAGATTCTGCAGGGAACAGAACCTTGTCATTACAAACACAAAATTCCCCCACAAGCGTATACATGCATACACAAGATGTGAACCTTCAAAGAATGAAAAATCCATTACTGACTATGCCATAGTTAGGAAAAGTTCATTCACGTTTGTTAGAGATGCCAGAGTCATGAGAGGACCAGAGATTGGAAGTGACCACTACCTGGTCACAATAAAGAGAACAACTGAAAGAACTGCTCTAACAAGGCAACACCAACAACCATGCAAGAAACCAAGCAACCAAGAAGGGATGAGGATTAAGGCATACAGGCTAAGAGAGCCAGATATTAGGGCTAGATACCAGGAGCTTATAGTGAAAGCAATAGGAACTGAAGTAGAACCATCAGAGGACACTGAAACCCTCTGGTGCAGATTCAAGAATATCCTCACAGCAGCTGCAGTAGAAGCATGTGGTGACCTCCCAAGTGGAAGGCAGGGACATAGGACACCTTGGTGGACAGAAGAAGTCAAACTGAAAATAGGAGAAATGAAAAGGGCTTGGAAGCAATACCTGGCAGCCAGGAACACAGCTGAAGAAATAGAGAAATATAAACAATATGTGGCACTCAGAACAGAGACCAAAAATATTGTGCTTAAAGCAAAACAGAAATAATGGGAAGAGTTTGGAGAAAGGAAAAGAATGCAAGAGAAAATCAAAAACTGTTTTACAAGACCCTCAAGAACATGAGGAAGGAGAAAGAGTGCCCACTTAAATTCATAAAAGACAAGGAAGGGGCTCTGCTTACTTCTACAGATAATATCATAGGCAGATGGAAAGAATACTTATCAGAGCTCCTTGGCGTTGAGGGAAGTCATGACCCAGAAATAATGGACCTCACTGCTGAGAAGGAAATCATCCATGAGGATGATAAAATCAGGATGGTAGAGTTAAAGGCAGCTATTAAGAAGATTAAGCTGGGGAAAGCAGCAGGTCATGATGGTATAACACCAGAGATGGTCAAATATATGAGTGTCGCAGGTGAGCGCCTTCTACTGAAGGTTCTGCAGGCAGCCTGGTGTAGTAAAACTATACCAAAAGATTGGGAGATTGCCATCATTATACCTATATTTAAAAAAGGTGATAACAGACAATGTGAAAACCACAGAGGCATATCCCTCCTCAGCGTTCCAGGTAAAAGAAACTCTAGAATTCTCGAGCAGAGACTTAGAAGTCTGGTAGAGCCACAGCTGGACGAGGCCCAATGTGGCTTCAGAGCAAACCGAAGTACTCAAGACCTTATCTTCACACTGAGACAGATGAGTGAAAAAACCCTTGAATGTAAAGAGTGAAATACACCTATGTTTTTTTGATCTGGAAAAGATGCTATATAATATATATATATATATATATATATATATATATATATATATATATATATATATATATATATATATATATATATATATATATATATATATATATATATATATATAAAAGGTAGCTATTCATTTAAAAGAATATGAGTACTAGAATTGTGGCCTTCTTGAAAAAGATCCAACTGTGCAGTGCTCCTGTGGGTGCTTCAAGGTGATAAAATAATTCAAGTAAAGGGAGATGAATGGTGGTAGACCATGAGGCAGACAAGAAGACGATGGAGAGATAATGTCCAGACAGACCTGCAAACACTTGGTGTCATCAACTGGAAAGAGTAGACCAACCAGAGAAATGAATGGAGGTGGGTGATTTCTGCAGCAATGAACCTCAAGGGCTTGGAATGCTGAAGAAGAAGAAAAGGACACGTCTGTCGAGTATACGACAAACCATGAAAACGACTGGTATACAGTATATGACAAACCATGAAAACGACTGGTATACAGTATATGACAAACCATGAAAACGACTAGTATACAGTATACGACAAACCATGAAAACGTCTGGTATACAGTATACGACAAACCATGAAAACGTCTGGTATACAGTATACGACAAATCATGAAAACGACTGGTATACAGCATGCGACAAAATTAAGACATAAACACTGTAGACACCACAGAAAAATCATACCTCGTTGTCAGCCAACTTGTGCAAATGATTAGCTAAACTCTTGGGAGAAGAGAAATCACTTGTATCTATAAAAGAATTTGGAGGAAACAGTTTGTGATAGTCTGCTCCTCCCCGCACAACAGGGATTAAACCTCCAATATTGTAAATTTTCAGTAACTTCTCTGTCACATAATCTTTACACAAGGAATTTTCAAAAGCAAGATAAAATTTATACTTTGTGCGTAACATCTGTACACATTTGTCTTGTTCTGTGCATTTCAAAGTCCCACACGTTCCATATATGTCTACTGGAATGTGTTTCATCAACTCTGTGACATACATTTCTCTTCTACTATCTGTCTGACAATTGCTAACAAACCAGGCAACAAGCCCTTGCTTTTTGGAAAATAACTCTCTCCATGTTTTCTCATCTGCAGCTCTTGTTTCATTTGCAACAGGCTGCTTTCGCTTCTCAGACCTGACATACCCATGCCAGAACTCAGAGTCATGCCTATAGCTCATGGTCCAATTAAACAATCCATGCCAAACTTCATTTCCAAATCTAGAAGCTGCCGAATTTGGCGGGCTTTCCACAGAGAAAAATACCCATATCTGTCCAGGTTGTTTGGCTGGAGGGACTGAGTCGATGTCTGCAACAATGTGGGAGTGTGAGAAAAAGACAACAACGTCAGCTTCTGCAAATCTCGTGCTGTTGACAGTCAGTTCACATGTTTTGGAACAAGACTTGAATATGTCAAAACCTGCTGCTGAAGCTAGTTCGTAGTAGACTGGAAACTTGTAAAAGAGGACAAGTTTTGGTTTAATGGAAACTGATGGGCTGTCCTTGTTTTCAGCTAGTGAACACATCTTTTCTGAAACAACAAGTGATACAATATTATTAGCTTTAACTGTCTTTAATTTGTGTTACCATAATAATACTTTTGTTGCATTTTCTTCTTCACCTGCAGTGCTGGATTTAGGTATAAGCTAAACAATCTACAGCTTGAGGCCTCACAGTTTGCTGGGGCCCCAAAACAAATTCTATTTTTTATACACATACACAATTTTCTATTAATATATTTTAAATGGAATTTTTTTTTTCAATAGAGCACAACATTTACCTGGATATCTGGGCAGGAGGACACTTTCAGTATCAACATGATGCTCAAATGTTGAATATGTCCAGCTGTTCAGTGACCAGACAAGTAAGATGGTCAAGATGAGAAAAGCCCAGACCAGCAAAATCAATAATGTGTATTTCATCCTTCGTTTCTGTGAGAAGATAAAATCAGTAGCTGTTATTTTCATAGTTTCATATATTGGGCATTCACATGTTCTAGATCAGTGGTTCTCAACCTTCCTAATGTACATGGTGACCCTTTAATACAGTTCCTCATGTTGTGGTGACCCTTTAATACAGTTCCTCATGTTGTGGTGACCCTTTAATACATTTATTCATGTTGTGGTGACCCTTTGATACATTTCCTCATGCTGTGGTGACCCTTTAATACATTTCCTTATGTTGTGGTGACCCTTTAATACATTTCCTCATGTTGTGGCGACCCTTTAGTACATTTCCTCATGTTGTGGTGACCCTTTAATACATTTCCTCATGTTGTGGTGACCCTTTAATAAATTTCCTCATGTTGTGGTGACCCTTTAATACATTTCCTTATGTTGTGGTGACCCTTTAATACGGTTCCTCATGTTGTAGTGACCCTTTAATACAGTTCCTCATATTGTGGTAACCCTTTAATACATTTCCTTATGTTGTGGTGACCCTTTAATACATTTCCTCATGCTGTGGTGACCTTTTAATACAGTTCCTCATATTGTGGTAACCTTTAATACAGTTCCTCATGTTGTGGTGACCCTTTAATACATTTCCTCATGCTGTGGTGACTCTTTAATACAGTTCCTCATGTTGTGGTGACCCTTTAATACATTTCCTCATGTTGTGGTGACCCTTTAATACAGTTCCTCATATTGTGGTAACCCTTTAATACATTTCCTTATGTTGTGGTGACCCTTTAATACATTTCCTCATGCTGTGGTGACCCTTTAATACAGTTCCTCATATTGTGGTAACCTTTAATACAGTTCCTCATGTTGTGGTGACCCTTTAATACATTTCCTCATGCTGTGGTGACCCTTTAATACAGTTCCTCATGCTGTGGTGACCCTTTAATACATTTCCTCATGTTGTGGTGACCCTTTAATACAGTTCCTCATGTTGTGGTGACCCTTTAATAGAGTTCTTCATATTGTGGTAACCTTTAATACAGTTCCTCATGTTGTGGTGACCCTTTAATACATTTCCTCATGCTGTGGTGACCCTTTAATACATTTCCTTATGTTGTGGTGACCCTTTAATACAGTTCCTCATGCTGTGGTGACCCTTTAATACAGTTCCTCATATTGTGGTAACCCTTTAATACAGTTCCTCATGTTGTGGTGACCCTTTAATACATATCCTCATTTTGTGGTGACCCTTTAATACAGTTCCTCATGTTGTGGTGACCCTTTAATGCAGTTCCTCATGTTGTGGTGACCCTTGAATACAGTTCCTCATGTTGTGGTGACCCTTTAATACGGTTCCTCATACTGTAGTGACCCTTTAATACATTTCCTCATGTTGTGGTGACCCTTTAATACATTTCCTCATGTTGTGGTGACCCTTAAATACATTTCCTCATGTTGTGGTGACCCTTTAATACATTTCCTTATGTTGTGGTGACCCTTTAATACATTTCCTCATGTTGTGGTGACCCTTTAATACATTTCCTCATGCTGTGGTGACCCTTTAATACATTTCCTCATGCTGTGTTGACCCTTTAATACAGTTCCTCATGTTGTGGTGACCCTTTAATACATTTCCTCATGTTGTGGTGACCCTTTAATACATTTATTCATGTTGTGGTGACCCTTTGATACATTTCCTCATGCTGTGGTGACCCTTTAATACATTTCCTTATGTTGTGGTGACCCTTTAATACATTTCCTCATGTTGTGGCGACCCTTTAATACATTTCCTCATGTTGTGGTGACCCTTTAATACATTTCCTCATACTGTGGTGACCCTTTAATACATTTCCTTATGTTGTGGTGACCCTTTAATACATTTCCTCATGTTGTGGTGACCCTTTAATACATTTCCTCATGTTGTGGTTACCCTTTAATACAGTTCCTCATGTTGTGGTGACCCTTTAATACAGTTCCTCATGTTGTGGTGACCCTTTAATACAGTTCCTCATGTTGTGGTGACCCTTTAATACATTTATTCATGTTGTGGTGACCCTTTAATACAGTTACCTCATGCTGTGGTGACCCTTTAATGCATTTCCTCATGTTGTGGTGACCCTTTAATACATTTATTCATGTTGTGGTGACCCTTTAATACATTTCCTCATGTTGTGGTGACCCTTTAATACATTTATTCATGTTGTGGTGACCCTTAAATACATTTCCTCATGTTGTGGTGACCCTTTAATACATTTCCTTATGTTGTGGTGACCCTTTAATACATTTCCTCATGTTGTGGTGACCCTTTAATACATTTCCTCATGCTGTGGTGACCCTTTAATACATTTCCTCATGCTGTGTTGACCCTTTAATACAGTTCCTCATGTTGTGGTGACCCTTTAATACATTTCCTCATGTTGTGGTGACCCTTTAATACATTTATTCATGTTGTGGTGACCCTTTGATACATTTCCTCATGCTGTGGTGACCCTTTAATACATTTCCTTATGTTGTGGTGACCCTTTAATACATTTCCTCATGTTGTGGCGACCCTTTAATACATTTCCTCATGTTGTGGTGACCCTTTAATACATTTCCTCATACTGTGGTGACCCTTTAATACATTTCCTTATGTTGTGGTGACCCTTTAATACATTTCCTCATGTTGTGGTGACCCTTTAATACATTTCCTCATGTTTTGGTGACCCTTTAATACAGTTCCTCATGTTGTGGTGACCCTTTAATACAGTTCCTCATGTTGTGGTGACCCTTTAATACAGTTCCTCATGTTGTGGCAACCCCCCAACCATACAATTATCTTTGTTGCTACTTCATAACTTCAATGAATATTTTTTTTGCGATGGTCTTTGGCGACCCATGTGAAGGGGTCATTCAACCCCAAACAAGGTTAAGTTGGGAACCGCTGTTCTAGATCATGACATAATGAGCTAAGGTGGCTAATTCCTTTAAATGTCACCTCTACTTTAACTTTTTAAATTACTGAAGAAAAGGGCTCTTCTTCATATCCTTAGATGTACTGGGTATACTACTGGACCTATATGTTTAGACCAATCAGCATTCAGTGGGTGATGTGGTCAACATCACACCAGCTGCCTTTACTTCCCAGAACTACCCCGGAACCCAGCCAATTTGAACTCACAATTTTTAGGCCTGCAGGTGATCATCTAGCCACTATACCACTAGCCTAAGGTTTAGAGTCACATGGCTAATGCTGTGGCCATGGACTGTGCCAGTTAGGACTCCCCGACTGCTAAAATACATTACCTTACCGAGGATTCAAACCTGGGTCTACCATATGAGAGCCCAGCATTCTTAATTGTTTAGCCAATTGCTCCTTGCTTACTGAATGTAAAGTTTTACTACATCAAACCTTTGCAACAATACCAACCACTGGATTATCTCTGCCTTAATTAAACAGATTAAAATAAGATGAACTGAGTTGCTGCTTTATATCGTTTCAACAGTAAATACAGAAGACAAGAACTGTAATAACTATCTCAGTGCGAGGTGTTCACCATTGTGGAACCTGAACCATCTCAGAGTAGTGATAATTGGATTCTAGCCTGGTAGGTAGATAACATACTCATTCTGAGTATGTCTGTGTTCTGCAACAGAGTGGACAGAGAGAAGATAGGAAGAAGTATAAACAAGTGTGAAAGAGAGAGAAAGAGAGAGAGAGAGAGAGAGAAAGAGAAGAGAGGCATAAGACACAAAAAGGGAAGATCCAAGGGTATTTCTGTGCAGTAACAATAATCCACACCTCAAATGATAGAGAGAAAAGCGGTGGTAGTAGTAGTACATAATTATATGCGTACAATGCCACCGTCACTCAAACAGCCTATGACAAAAAAAAAAAAACTAAAGCAAACAAGAAGTTAACACTGAAAGAGTAAAAATCTCAAGACTGCTTATAATAAACACTAATCACACACCAATATATGGCATAGTACTATGAGTACCATAACTCATTAATCAATGGGGCTCCCTCTATTAACAATTAAGAATTACAAATTTCAAAGATTAGAGTTATGAGTTATGAGTTAGATTATCTTCACAGCACTCCGGACACATCCATAGGCGCTCAGATTCCCCTCTCAACATATTCACCAGCGTCGTGCGGTTAATAGTGCCAGTCCTATGTTGGTTAACAAGACTTCGTGTGCATACACTGTGCTTCTCATGCTTGGCTGTGCCGATCTTTACTTCCAATTCGCGTATTCTTAGCAGAGATGCGGACATGTTGCTTCCAAAATCCTCAGAACGTCCTATCTCTCTAAGGGCAATGACAATGTCTGCGCGATTTATGGGCTGGCCATCTTCAATTAATGCAGTGCCAGCCAATCTATCAGCTCTCTCATTACCAACAACAAAGATTAGAATCAAGATCATGACTGGTATAATCTAGCACATCCTAACTATTAGAACTTAGCAGGTCCTAACTATGAGAATTCAGTATTTCCCATTTCCTCTTGCCTAAATGGTATAATATAGATGCCATAACTAGCCAAAGACTGGTAAACCCAGACATAAACTTCTGCTTGCCACCTGTTAAATACATAATAGCGACATCAAAACAACAATAATACGCTGAACTACACAGATTG